GAACACAGTGAAGATACATCAGACCTACTTATACAATCGTTTTTATTTATTTCACTTTATCGTAAGTTACAAAAAGCAAGTTTTCATTGGGGTAAATATTTCAAGTCGGCGATTTAGCCTGACCCTATGCTGACTAAAAAAATCGGCCTGCGGAGGTATAATTTTAGGCGAGGTTCGCGTCATTTAGTCGTAGTGCTAGTCGAAGTTCGTTTTAAGAATACGAAATGACGTAATTTTTAAGTTTTAGCTCGAACTACGACTAAAGTTTGTTTTAAGAATTAAAAACAATATAAATAACAAATACAATATCACTTGGCACAAAAGGAAAAGTTGAAATTTAATTAAAACAAAAAAATACACTGTCTGACAAATAAAAATTCAATATAAACCTGATGATCAAGCTCTTTGAATTAAATGAATGAAACTAATCAGCAAAAATTTCACAATAAACATTTAGTTTATTATCATTAAATTTAAAGGTCAAATATAGAACAATAATTTACTAAAAATATGGGATTGAATTTTTTTTTTTAGATTATTACAGACAGTACATTTTTTAATGGACAACTAAGATTCAAAACGTCCAGTATCTAAAATATACATCTGAACCTTGTTAAACAGAACACAATTTTCATCATTTGTAAGATTCTGGGAACCAAAAATTAATAAATTAAATAAGAAATTCTGAGCAATATTTCTTACAAACGAGAAATCAGCAAAGATAGTTGGAAAAAGATTTTGGATTACATTGAGCAACTTATTTCTTTGAGTAACAAAAAGGGGACACATTATAAAATAATGGAAAGGGGTTTCTATACCATTTCCACAAGCACAAATAGGATCAGCCTTCAAACCATAAGAATGTAAATGAAAATTAAGGCTGCTAAAACCAAGTTTTATTCTTGTATGTATTTCATTATTTTTTTCAGACCCAGTATCATAATATCTTATTTTAGTTGGAAAATCTTTAAATAATTTTTAAACACAGAAATTGATGGAGAATGTTTTATTTCATTATTAAAGGTGTTCCAAACAGAGGTAACAGAGCATATAAATGATGAATTATATAATTCAGTTCTGCAAAGTGGGAGTTTCAAATTTCTTATTCCATGTAAATTATATACTTCAGCATTTTCAAGAAAATTAAACATAGACAATAAATACTGCGGCGTTTGATTATTTCTTATTTTGTATGATAAACACTGTTTAAAATAACTTCGCCTTACTCTGGAGGATTGGCCAACCAAGTTCAGTACATAGTGCTGTATGACTGGTATGCCTCCATGCACCTGTACAGATTCTTGCAAAACACATTTGAAGATTTTCTAGATCTGAAGCTAGGCTAAAGGTCATATTATCCCACACAGAGGAAGCATATTCTAACAGTGGTCGAATACAAGTGATATAAATTTTTACTAAAGTTGGTCGTGATAACAATTTTTTACACGTTTCATCATATTTAATGATGGAGTGGCTTTATTTAATATTAATTGTATATGCCTATTCCACGATAACTCATAACTAAATATTACGCCTAAGTGTTGATAATATTTTACAAAATTAATTTCATGATTTTCAAAGAATAAACGTAAATCAATCTGTGTTTGCATCAGACTTCTTGAAAACAGAACTGCCTTGGTTTTATCAGCATTAAAGTTTACCTTCCACCTTTCAGCCCATTCAGAAATAGTTTTTAAATCGTTATTTAATCTAATTGCAATGTTATTTCTATCATGACCAACTTCACATAAGCATGTATCGTTAGCATACAAGCTTATATTACATTTCAAATGGTCCAAAATATAATTTATATAAACTAAGAATAAAAATGGACCCAAGACTGATCCTTGTGAAACACCTGCAATGTTATTTCTCCATTGACTACAAACGCCTTGGATAACTGCACGTTGCTGTCGATTAGAAAGATAACTTAAAAACCATTTATATAAATTAACTGTAACAGCATACTGTCTTAACTTGAACAGTACACCATTATGTTACGCCTTATCAAAAGCTTTGGATATATCAAGAAAAATTGAACAGAATTCTTTTTTTTTTATCCAAAGCTTTGTGGAATGCGTTATTTAAGTAAACAAATTAATTTACAGTAGAATCGCCAGGTGTAAAACAGATTGAAATAGGGAAATAAAACTGTTTAATTTAAAATAATCATAGTCAACATCAAACACTACTTTTTCAAATATTTTTTGCTATGTGTGATACAACAGAAATAGGACGATAATTTTGAACAAGTGGTTTGCTTTCCTTTTCTCCATGATAGAGACAAAAATTAAAGAGTTTAGTAAGATGTGGACTAATTATACTAGCTGCCTCTCTTATAATAACACTATGAATTCCACCTGGTCCTGTTGCTTTATTTATACCTAAAGAATTTATATAATAAAGAACTTGGTCAGATGTCACTGCAATTTCACCAATTCTTTTATTAGTTTTATAACAGAAATCAGACGGTCTTTGATTATAATTTAGTAATGCGGACTGGTATATAAAATAATTATTAAACACTTCAGCCTATTCAACATTTTCTAGGATTAGATCATTTCCAACCAATAGTGGTGGAAGAAATGCATTTGGTTTAATCTGACATAACTTATTGGCAGTAGCCCACCACTTTTTTGCATTATTATTTGGTGAGTTTAGTGTCTCAGAAGTGGAAGCGTGGTAATCTTTCTTTGCTTGTTTAATAGCTGTAATAACTTTCGCTCGATCATTTTTTAAGCGTTCCATGTATGAAATTGAATAATGTCTACGAGATTGAAGTCTTTAGTCATTACAAAACTATTAGCCTAAAACTTCAGCTCGAGTAACAGAACTCCAATCATCATAATATCTGCAATGATATCTTATCCTTTTACACATATTTTATCGCATTAACTTACATCCTGACCACTCCTTATCAACAATTCTTTATCAACGAATTACCCTGTTCTCAATAGGCCTATACAGGTTGTTTAACAATAATAAAAAAAAACAATTTAGACAGCGCACCCATAAAAATATCTATCACTTACTGCAAAACATGCAGCGTACCTGGTATTAAACATACGTTGTGAGAAATAGAAAACACTACGCGATATGGGACTCGAACAAATAAAACGCGAAACAATGAAAGACACAACACTGTCAAGGTTAAAAGAAACAATAATTAACAGTTAGCCTAAACAAAGTCATTAACTGAGGAAAGCATAAAACCATAATTCGTCTATAAAGAAGAACTCCGAGTATTAAATGATAGTTATCCCTAGTAATATGAGAAAAGAAATGGAATTGTTGCACCAAGGTCATCCAGGTATGGTCAAGACCAAACTCTAGCCCGAGATATGGTGTTTTTGGGCAAATATAAATGGTCAATTAGACAGAACATCCTAGTGTGACGTGTACTTAACACACAGACAGCAGCAGCAAAAAGAACTACTTTTGCCGCATGCAGTGCCAAAGGATGGACTGCAAAATGGTCTTGATTTATTTGATTGCTGTGGTAGCAAGTATATTATTGGTGTAGATTATTATTCAGAGTATTTTGAATTTAAGAAACCCAACAAGGATGTAACGGGTGGAATGGTAATTTATTTTTTTTTAAATGTTTTTGTTGTTAATAGAATTCCACTAAGAGTTATATCCGATAACGGTCCACCATTTCAGGGTTACAAATTCAAGAAATTTTCTAGAACTGGTATTTGCCTGTTTAAACACATAACATCTTTACTAAGCGCACCCTAGGTCAAATGGCATGACAGAAAAAGCAGTCGGTATTGCATAAACCCCTAACAAGGAAATGTATAGTGTCAAATTCAGACCTCTACTTGGCACTATTGAACCTTAGAAATATTCATAGAGATGAAGTTGTTGGGTCAACCGGATAAAGAATTGTTAGCAGACGAATAAGACCCACTTTACCCACTGCTCAAAAACTGCTAAAGCCAAAAGCAAAAAACACTAACAGAGTAAAAAAGCAATGCAAAAAAGTTGGAGTCAGGACAAATACAGGTTGGAAACAAACTAAATTACTTTCAAAACAAAATGATGAATAAAGTGATTACAACTCTAATTTATTATGCTGTTTTTAGAGTTATGATATACAGGCGAAAACCCTTCATAGTAAAACATCTTTTAAAAATATAAAAAGGGAGATGTGATATATCGACGTTATCAAACTACTTCCGCTAGTCTTATTGGTGATTTTTATTTCATTCAAATTTTATTAAAATAATAACCATCTTACGTATGTTATCAACACTTCTTTTTTGACTAGTATTGTGCCTAATTATATTAAAGTAGCTAGATCATTCCAATTTTCAAGAAAGGTGATCAAGATAATTTTTCATATTATAGACCAATTACTCTACTCTCAATACTTTCAAATTGTTGAAAAATTAGAATATTCCAGACTTAATATTATTACTTTAACTAATTTTAAATCTACACCGGCACGGTTTTCGTAAATATCATTCAACCTGCCATGCCCTTATTGACGTTATAGATAATGTGACTAAATTATTTGAAAATAATAATAATTAAAAAAATCATATTAAAAAGCTTATCAAAAGCTTCGATGTTATCAATCACTGTATTTTATTCTGTAAAGTTGAATACTATGACATCAGAGGTCTTGGTTGCCTCAAAATTTAAGGAAGGGAAAATGAAAGGATAAATTAAACTGTACATGTAATCTTGGGTAAAAAATATATTGTATTCACAAATAACTTTAGAAGGCTGTTTACTCAAAATCATGTTTATCTACTTTCACTTCCCAACTATTTGAAATGTAGGAAAATGTACACTATTTATGATTCTTTATTGTGTCTCTAAATTGAAGTTCATATGTAACAGCAACTATAGAGATGTGGGTAACCCACATCGTTATAATTATACATTTCATTTTTTTAGTTTATTTTACTATTTTTATTATTTGCAAGACAAAAGACACTGTTCTCATAAATATATTTTTTTTATGTCAAATAATAATGTTTAAATACTACCTATAGAAGATTTGTCTCCAATGTTTTTATCTTCATCTTCTTGTCTGGTCTTGGTTTCACTCTTCATTACCGACTTATCTGATACATTACCTTCTCTTGTATTTTCTGATAAAGCATGAAATGTAAAATGTAAACACATTAAAATTAGTAAAACTTAATAGTAAGTGAAGAGTGTTTAATTTTTTGCACATGAATTGTTTATTGAATTTTTAAGAGACGTAGCCTGTGCATTCGGTCCAATACAAGAAAGTAAGGAGTCGGATAGATCTATGTAATAGCAAAAATGTGATATTGTACAATGTGCAACAATTCTAAGGATGTAATGCAGTGATACAAAATTTAACACCACCAAACACATTTCATAAGGTCGGATGATGATGATGACCATTTAAAGTTCAATCATAATAATTATTTCATACAATTAAAAAAGAAAACTGATTGTTAAGTTAGTCATGGTGCGCGTTATTTAGTCGTATTCGAAGTTAATTTTGCAAATACGCAATGACGGAATTTTGAGTTTTTCACTCGAAATAAAGTTCGTTTTTAGAATATCGTGGGTACTTTTTTTCTATCCAGAGTGTTTGTTGGCTTACACAGGTAACAAGGCACAGCGATAAGGGACAATGTATCCGTGATATCAGGGAGCTGACATTGCCGTAGGCAGTCGCTGTTCTCTAGGGCCCAGTCAATATTTTCAATTTCAAATATTTGGAATTGGAAAAATAGGATAATTTTTATTTTATTTTACTATAAAAAAGATTTTTTTTTTCATAAATGTGATTTTAAAAAACAAATCAATAATATGGTTATAAACACTTTTAATGTAAATACTTCAAATTTAGAAGACACAAATGAATTATTAAAAACCCACTATCTGCAAATTTGTGATATCAGGGAACCGGCGTTGCCGTGTAGCAGTCTCTGGTCTTAATGGCCAAGCCAACATTTCAAATTTCAAATATTTGGAATTGGACAAATAAGGAAAATTGTAATTGTTTTATTATTTTTATAAACAGCAAAAAAATAAATCTTATAAATATGATTTTTAAAAACAAGTTAATATGGTTATATATATCTTTAAAGTAAATACTTAAAATTGAAACACATAAATGATATTTCAATAATTATTAAAGACCCACTATCTGCAAATTTTATATCAGCTAATTTTCCTAATCTAACATTGTTGGCCACTGTGTTGTCATGGAGAAATTACTATGTAAGGAATGTGTTAAAATGCTTCTGTAAATTAGAGGTGTAAATGTTCACCATGAGTACGCATTCCAACTACCATTCAAATCAGTATCTTCACGGAGGAATTTTATGAAGGGGTTGGTAATAGAGGGATTTAGCGATGCGAGTCACGTGACCTAAATCGGCTGTTAAATATATACAATCCAATGACACAGCGGTGTTTTACATGGAGATTTATATCGCAGCCACCAATGTTTATTACTGTAAAGATCATCATAATTTCAAGTAAACTATACCAAATTGATTTGAAATTGAAATTAGGAATTTAGCCTTTAATGGTTTGCTAATGCTGTAAAGGATAATGGGCGAAAACATTGCTATTTTTTGACAAATGTTAAGCCTAGGCCCTGCACATCTACTGCAGGGTTAGGCATGCATGATGGTCTTCTACCCACTAACTACGCTTCGATGTCAGTACCAGCTAAGGTTTTGAAGGATCACTTAAATTTCAGAGCATAAAATCAAAAGAGAACGCTAGAATAAGTAAATAAACACTATTTTGAACAACCGGATTGCCTTTCAATGCCTATCAATTTACTTCTAACGTTAACAGTGGGGTTGTTTTCGCAACCATAGTATTATTTTTCCTATGCTATCGCACTGTAATGTTTTTCAAGTATACACAAGTTAGGTCACGTGACCGCCTGTAAACGATATTCGCTAAATCTCTCTATCGCACATAAGTTTCTTTATATGACCAATGCCAAAGGGGTAGTTGCTAAATACAACGGGTTCAGACGAGGGGGCGTAGCTTGTATAGGTGACGTCATGTATAATTAATGTCGTCTACCAAAAAACATCACACTACACACTGTGTGACCAATGTGAATTTAGAAAGGCGAGCAGGAGAAGGCTTAGTCTAGTTTTCTCTTCTGCTGTTGCTACGGGCAACAGGTATGCTGTATTCCAGTAAAATAAAAGAAAACTTAGTTTACTTTACTTATATCTTTTTATTAACAAATAAGTAAATAAAACAAAGAAAAAATATACTTAATACTTGCATGCAGCATATCTGTATTCCCTAGACTAGATCCTGTATCTCTAATTTATTATGCTATTTATAATATGCCACTTTGATGTATTTACTTCATTGTTTATATTCTAGTTTTTATGTTTCTTTTTGTAACTTTGATTTTTGGCCGGTGATTAGGCCGTAAAGTTTGTTATCAAACTTATTTTGGTCCCCGTCCACACAGTTTTATCTACTTATTTTCTCCATTTTTTACTCCGTTTTAAATTGTTTATAACCAATACTGTATTGTTTATATTATATATTTTCTGTGTGGAAAAAACTTAATAAACAAACATACAAACAAACGGGGGGACGTTCGTAGGTCTAGGCTCCCTCTAACTAAGCCTGGGCTAGGTCGGACCAAGAGGTCTTTTCAGTAGTCTGGTGCCTTGTCCTAGATTGTGGGTCCAGCAACCCGCAGCAGTCCGTCTAGGCCTATGCCTCATTTACGTGAAGTTAGGCGCATGCAGAATCTGTTGTAAGACCCTCTCCTAGGCTACTGAAGAATTTGCACTGAATAGGCGCATAATAGGCCTACATAATATTTATACAATACAATACACGACATTGGAAAGTTAATATGTTATTTACTTAAATTACATATAGACCAGGGTATAATTGAGATAGGTGCCACTTGGAGAGGTAGGAATTCTCATATGGTTTTTCTAGACTAGTTTTTTATGGGGAATCAGAATGTATGAGGTAAAAGGTGTAACCTGAGAACTTGTGCATAACTTTGCTACAAAAGTTGTTGCAGGCTCATTGTGTGTACTGTAGCGTGTACATAAATACAACGGTGGGGAAAACTAGAAGATGTAACAGCAGTATGTTCGAACTTAAATTTCGTACTCGTTAAAATGAGCCGATTTTATTCGTTCAAAAGTCGTTATGAGGTGCTAGTTAACATTTTTTTCTGAAAAAAAGTAATGAAATTATGTCTCTAAATTGAAGTTCATATGCAACAGCAACTATAGAGATGTGGGTAACCCACATCGTTATAATTATACGACATTTCATTTTTTTAGTTTATTTTACTATTTTTATTATTTGCAAGACAAAAGACACTGTTCTCATAAATATATTTTTTTTAATGTAAAATAATAATGTTTAAATACTACCTATAGAAGATTTGTCTCCAATGTTTGTATCTTCCTCTTCTTGTCTGGTCTTGGTTGCCTAGATGTATTGATTAAAGATGACGTAGATATTAGGAGATTATATAAAATATCTACATATACATTATAACGTGAATGGGATTCAAAATCAATTACACTATTTTTTTCCCCTAATATTTCGAAAGAATGCAATAGTATACTATTACCTTGATATTATATGTATGTATGTGACTTCCTGAGTCATTGGAGGGAGGTGTTGTTGTTTCACTCTTCATTACCGACTTATCTGATACCTTATCTTCTCTTGTATTTTCTCCATTTTTTACTCCGTTTTAAATTGTTTATAACCAATACTGTATTGTTTATATTATATATTTTCTGTGTGGAAAAACTTAATAAACAAACATACAAACAAACGGGGGGACATTCGTAGGTCTAGGCTCCCTCTAACTAAGCCTGGGCTAGGTCGGACCAGGAGGTCTTTTCAGTAGTCTGGTGCCTTGTCCTAGATTGTGCGTCCAGCAACCCGCAGCAGTCCGTCTAAGCCTATGCCTCATTTACGTGAAGTTAGGCGCATGCAGAATCTGTTGTAAGACCCTCTCCTAGGCTACTGAAGAATCTGCACTGAATAGGCGCATAATAGGCCTACATAACATTTATAAAATACAATACACGACATTGGAAAGTTAATATGCTATTTACTTAAATTACATATAGACCAGGGTATCATTGAGATAGGTGCCACTTGGAGAGGTAGAAATTCTCATATGGTTTTTCTAGACCAGTTTTTTATGGGGAATCAGAATGTGTGATGTAAAAGGGTGTAACTTGAGAACTTGTGCGTAACTTTGCTACAAAAGTTGTAGGCTCATTGTGTGACTGTAGCGTGTACATAAATACAACGGTGGGGGAAAAATAGAAGATGTAACAGCAGTATGTTCGAACTTAAATTTCGTACTCGTTAAAATGAGCCGATTTTATTTGTTCTAAAGTCGTTATGAGGTGCTAGTTAACATTTTTTTCTGAAAAAAAATAATGAGATTATGTCTTTAAATTTAAGTTCATATGCAACAGCAACTATAGATATGTGGGTAACCCACATCGTTATAATTATACGACATTTCATTTTTTTAGTTTAATTTACTATTTTTATTATTTGCAAGACAAAAGACACTGTTCTCATAAATATATATTTTTTTATGTAAAATAATAATGTTTAAATACTACCTATAGAAGATTTGTCTCCAATGTTTGTATCTTCCTCTTCTTGTCTTGTCTTGGTTGCCTAGATGTATTGATTAAAGATGTCGTAAATGTTAGGAGATTAAATAAAATATCTACATATACATTATAACGTGAATGGGATTAAAATTCAATTACACTATTTTTTTTCTAAAATTTCGAAAGAATGCAATAGTATAATATTACCTTGATATTATATGTATGTATGTGACTTCCTGAGTCATTGGGGGGAGGTGTTGTTGTTTCACTCTTCATTACCGACTTATCTGATACCTTATCTTCTCTTGTATTTTCTGATAAAGCATGAAATGTAAAAAGTAAACACATTAAAATTAGTAAAACTTAATAGTAAGTGAAGAGTGTTTAATTTTTTGCACATGAATTGCTTATTGAATTTCTAACAGACGTAGCCTGTGCATTCGGTCCAATACAAGAAAGTAAGGAGTCGGATAGATCTATGTAATAGCAAAAAAGTGATATTGTACAATGTGCAACAATTCTAAAGATGTAATGCAGTGATACAAAATTTAACACCACTAAACACATTTAATAAGGTCGGATGATGATGATGACCATTTAAAGTTCAATCATAATAATAATTTCATACAATTGAAAAAGAAAAACTGATTGTTAAGTTAGTCATGGTGCGTGTTATTTAGTCGTATTCGAAGTTAATTTTGCAAATACGCAATGACGGAATGTTGAGTTTTTCCCTCGAAATAAAGTTCGTTTTAAAATATCGTGGGTACTTTTTTTCTATCCAGAGTGTTTGTTGGCTTACACCGGTAACAAGGTACAGCGATAAGGGACAATGTATCCGTGATATCAGGGAGCTGACATTGCCGTAGGCAGTCGCTGTTCTCTAGGGCCCAGTCAACATTTTCAATTTCAAATATTTGGAATTGGAAAATTAAGATAATTTTTATTTTATTTTACTATAAAAAATGTTTTTTTTTTCATAAATGTGATTTAAAAAAACAAATCAACAATATGGTTATAAACACTTTTAATGTAAATACTTTAAATTTAGAAGACACAAATGAATTATTAAAAACCCACTATCTGCAAATTTGTGATATCAGGGAACCGGCGTTGCCGTGTAGCAGTCACTGTTCTCACTGGCCAAGCCAACATTTCAAATTTCAAATATTTGGAATTGGACAAATAAGGAAAATTGTAATTGTTTTATTATTTTTATAACCAGCAAAAAAAAAATTCTTTTAAATATGATTTTAAAAAACAAGTTAATATGGTTATATATATCTTTCAAGTAAATACTTAAAATTGGAACACATAAATGATATTTCAATTATTATTAAATACCCACTATCTGCAAATTTTATATGAGCTAATTTTCCTAATCTAACATTGCTGGCCACTATGTTGTCATGGAGAAGGTCATTGAGAAATTACTATGTAAGGAATGTGTTAAAATGCTTCCGTAAATTAGAGGTGTAAATGTTCACCATGAGTACGCATTCCAACTACCCTTCAAATCAGTATCTTCACGGAGGAATTTTATGAAGGAGTTGGTAATAGAGGGAATTAGCGATGGGAGTCACGTGACCTAAATCGGCTGCTAAATATATACAATCCAATGACACAGCGGTGTTTTACATGGAGATTTCTATCGCAGCCGCCAATGTTTATTGCTGTAAAGATCATCATAATTCCGAGTAAACTATACCATACTATGGTTTTCGCAACCATAGTATAATTTTTCCTATGCTATCGCACTGTAATGTTTTTCATGTACAGTATACCCAAGTTAGGTCACGTGACCGCCTGTAAACGATCATCGCTAAATCTCTCTATTGCACATAAGTTTCTTTATATGACCAATGTCAAAGGGGGTAGTTGCTAAATACAACGGGTTCAGCCGAGGGGGCGTAGCTTGTATAGGTGACGTCATGTATAATTAATGCCATCTACCAAAAAACATCACATTACACACTGTGTGACCAATGTGAATTTAGCAAGGCGAGCAGGCGAAGGCTTAGTCTAGTTTTCTCTTCTGCTGTTGCTACGGGCAACAGATATGCTGTATTCCAGTAAAATAAAAGAAAACTTAGTTTACTTTACTTATATCTTTTTATTAACAAATAAGTAAATAAAACAAAGAAAAAATATACTTAATACTTGCATGCAGCATATCTGTATTCCCTAGACTAGATCCTGTATCTCTAATTTATTATGCAATTTATAATATGCCACTTTGATGTATTAACTTCATTGTTTATATTCTAGTTTTTATGTTTCTTTTTGTAACTCTGATTTTTGGCCGGTGATTAGGCCGTAAAGTTTGTTATCAAACTTATTTTGGTCTCCGTCCACACAGTTTTATCTACTTATTTTCTCCATTTTTTACTCCGTTTTACATTGTTTATAACCAATACTGTATTGTTTATATTATATATTTTCTGTGTGGAAAAACTTAATAAACAAACATACAAACAAACGGGGGGACGTTCGTAGGTCTAGGCTCCCTCTATCTAAGCCTGGGCTAGGTCGGACCAGGAGGTATTTTCAGTAGTCTGGTGCCTTGTCCTAGATTGTGCGTTCAGCAACCCGCAGCAGTCCGTCTAGGCCTATGCCTCATTTAAGTGAAGTTAGGCGCATGCAGAATCTAATACACGACATTTGAAAGTTAATATGTTATTTACTTAAATTACATATAGACCAGGGTATAATTGAGATAGGTGCCACTTGGAGAGGTAGAAATTCTCATATGGTTTTTCTAGACCAGTTTTTTATGGGGAATCAAAATGTATGAGGTAAAAGGGTGTAACCTGAGAATTTGTGCATAACTTTGCTACAAAAGTTGTTGCAGGCTCATTGTGTGTACTGTAGCATGTGCATAAATACAACGGTGGGGGAAAACTAGAAGATGTAACAGCAGTATGTTCGAACTTAAATTTCGTACTCGTTAAAATGAGCCGATTTTATTCGTTCAAAAGTCGTTATGAGGTGCTATTTAACATTTTTTTTCTGAAAAAAAATAATGAAATTATGTCTCTAAATTGAAGTTCATATGCAACAGCAACTATAGAGATGTGGGTAACACGACATTTCATTTTTTTAGTTTATTTTACTATTTTTATTTTTTGCAAGACAAAAGACACTGTTCTCATAAATATATATTTTTTTATGTAAAATAATATTGTTTAAATACTACCTATAGAAGATTTGTCTCCAATGTGTGTATCTTCCTCTTCTTGTCTGATATTGGTTGCCTAGATGTATTGATTAAAGATGACGTAAATATTAGGAGATTATATAAAATATCTACATATACATTATAACGTGAATGGGATTCAAAATCAATTACACTATTTTTTTTCCCTAATATTTCGAAAGAATGCAATAGTATACTATTACCTTGATATTATATGTATGTATGTGACTTCCTGAGTCATTGGAGGGAGGTGTTGTTGTTTCACTCTTCATTACCGACTTATCTGATACCTTATCTTCTCTTGTATTTTCTGATAAAGCATGAAATGTAAAATGTAAACACATTAAAATTAGTAAAACTTAATAGTAAGTGAAGAGTGTTTAATTTTTTGCACATGAATTGTTTATTAATTTCTATGAGACGTAGCCTGTGCATTCGGTCCAATACAAGAAAGTAAGGAGTCGGATAGATCTATGTAAGAGCAAAAATGTGATATTGTACAATGTGCAACAATTCTAAGGATGTAATGCAGTGATACAAAATTTAACACCACCAAACACATTTCATAAGGTCGGATGATGATGATGACCATTTAAAGTTCAATCATAATAATTATTTCATACAATTAAAAAAGAAAAACTGATTGTTAAGTTAGTCATGGTGCGCGTTATTTAGTCGTATTCGAAGTTAATACGCAATGACGGAATGTTGAGTTTTTCCCTCGAAATAAAGTTCGTTTTGAGAATATCGTGGGTACTTTTTTTTCTATCCAGAGTGTTTGTTGGCTTACACCGGTAACAAGGTACAGCGATACGGGACAATGTATCCGTGATATCAGGGAGCTGACATCGCCGTAGGCAGTCGCTGTTCTCTAGGGCCTAGTCAACATTTTCAATTTCAAATATTTGGAATTGGAAAAATAAGATAATTTTTATTTTGTTTTACTATTAAAAATTTTTTTTTTTTTCATAAAGGTGATTTTAAAAAACAAATCAATGATATGGTTATAAACACTTTTAATGTAAATACTTAAATTATTTAGAAGACACAAATGAATTATTAAAAACCCACTATCTGCAAATGTGTGATATCAGGGAACCGGCGTTGCCGTTTAGCAGTCACTGGTCTCAATGGCCAAGCCAACATTTCAAATTTCAAATATTTGGAATTGGACTAATAAGGAAAATTGTAATTGTTTTATTATTTTTATAAACAGCAAAAAAAAAAAAAATCTTATAAATATGATTTTTAAAAACAAGTTAATATGGTTATAAATATCTTTAAAGTAAATACTTAAAATTGGAACACATAAATGATATTTCAATTATTATTAAAGACCCACTATCTGCAAATTTTATATGAGCTAATTTTCCTAATCTAACATTGTTGGCCACTATGTTGTCATGGAGAAATTACGATGTAAGGAATGTGTTAAAATGCTTCTGTAAATTAGAGGTGTAAATGTTCACCATGAGTACGCATTCCAACTTCCCTTCAAATCAGTATCTTCACGGAGGAATTTTATGAAGCAGTTAGTAATAGAGGGATTTAGCGATCGGAGTCACGTTACCAAAATCGGCTGTTAAATATATACAATCCAATGACACAGCGGTGTTTTACATGGAGATTTCTATCGCAGCCGCCAATGTTTATTGCTGTAAAGATCATATTAATTCCCAGTAAACTATACCAAATTGATTTGAAATTGAAATTAGGAATTTAGCCTTAATGGTTTGCTAATGCTGTAAAGGATAATGGGCGAAAACATTGCTATTTTTTGACAAATGTTAGGCCTAGGCCCCTGCACATCTACTGCAGGGTTAGGTATGCATGATGGTCTTCGATCCACTAACTACGCTGCGATGTCAGTACCAGCTAAGGTTTTGAAGGATCACTTAAATTTCAGAGCAAAAAATCAAAAGAGAACGCTAGAATAAGTAAATAAACACTATTTTGAACAACCGGATTGCCTTTCAATGCCTAGCAATTTACTTCTAACGTTAACAGTGGGGTTGTTTTCGCAACCATAGTATTATTTTTCCTATGCTATCGCACTGTAATGTTTTTCATGTATACCCAAGTTAGGTCACGTGACCGCCAGTAAACGATCATCGCTATATCTCTCTATTGCACATAAGTTTCTTTATATGACAAATGCCAAACGGGGTATGGTAGTTGCTAAATACAACGGGTTCAGCCGAGGGGGCGTAGCTTGTATAGGTGACGTCATGTATAATTAATGCCGTCTACCAAAAAACATCACACTACACACTGTGTGACCAATGTGAATTTAGCAAGGCGAGCAGGCGAAGGCTTAGTCTAGTTTTTTTTTTTTTTGTGTTTTTGCTACGGGCAACAGATATGCTGTATTCCAGTAAAATAAAAGAAAACTTAGTTTACTTTACTTATATCTTTTTATTAACAAATAAATATATAAAACAAAGAAAAAATATACTTAATACTTGGATGCAGCATATCTGTATTGCCTAGACTAGATCCTGTATCTCTAATTTATTATGCAATTTATAATATGCCACTTTGATGTATTTACTTCATTGTTTATATTCTAGTTTTTATGTTTCTTTTTGTAACTCTGATTTTTGGCCGGTGATTAGGCCGTAAAGTTTGTTTATCAAACTTATTTTGGTCCCCGTCCACACAGTTTTATCTACTTATTTTCTCTATTTTTTACTCCGTTTTACATTGTTTATAACCAATACTGTATTGTTTAAATTATATATTTTCTGTGTGGAAAACTTAATAAACAAACATACAAACCCGCAGCAGTCCGTCTAGGCCTATGCCTCATTTACGTGAAGTTAGGCGCATGCAGAATCTGTTGTAAGACCCTCTCCTAGGCTACTGAAGAATCTGCACTGAATAGGCGCATAACAGGCCAACATAACATTTATACAATACACGACATTTGAAAGTTAATATGTTATTTACTTAAATTACATATAGACCAGGGTATAATTGAGATAGGTGCCACTTGGAGAGGTAGAAATTCTCATATGGTTTTTCTAGACCACTTTTTTTTATGGGGAATCAGAATGTATGAGGTAAAAGGGTGTAACCTGAGAACTTGTGCGTAACTTTGCTACAAAAGTTGTTGCAGGCTCATTGTGTGTACTGTAGCGTGTACATAAATACAACGGTGGGGAAAACTAGAAGATGTAACAGCAGTATGTTCGAACTTAAATTTCGTACTCGTTAAAATGAGCCGATTTTATTCGTTCAAAAGTCGTTATGAGGTGCTAGTTAACATTTTTTCTGAAAAAAAATAATGAAATTATGTCTCTAAATTGAAGTTCATATGCAACAGCAACTATAGAGATGTGGGTAACCCACATCGTTATAATTATACGACATTTCATTTTTTTAGTTTATTTTACTATTTTTATTATTTGCAAGACAAAAGACACTGTTCTCATAAATATATTTTTTTATGTAAAATAATAATGTTTAAATACTACCTATAGAAGTTTTGTCTCCAATATTTGTATCTTCCTCTTCTTGTCTGATCTTGGTTGCCTAGATGTATTGATTAAAGATGACGTAAATATTAGGAGATTATATAAAATATCTACATATACATTATAAAGTGAATGGGATTCAAATTCAATTCCACTATTTTTTCTAATATTTCTAAAGAATGCAATAGTATAATATTACCTTGATACTATATGTATGTATGAAACTTCCTGAGTCATTGGGAGGAGGTGTTGTTGTTTCACTCTTCGACTTATCTGATACCTTATCTGATACCTTATCTTCTCTTGTATTTTCTGATAAAGCATGAAATGTAAAATGTAAACACATTAAAATTAGTAAAACTTAATAGTAAGTGAAGAGTGTTTAATTTTTTGCACATGAATTGTTTATTGAATTTCTAAGAGACGTAGCCTGTGCATTCGGTCCAATACAAGAAAGTAAGGAGTCGGATAGATCTATGTAATAGCAAAAATGTGATATTGTACAATGTGCAACAATTCTAAGGATGTAATGCAGTGATACAAAATTTAACACCACCAAACACATTTCATAAGGTCGGATGATGATGATGACCATTTAAAGTTCAATCTTAATAATATTTCATACAATTAAAAAAGAAAAACTGATTGTTAAGTTAGCCATGGTGCGCGTGCATTTTCTTGATATAGTATATAATCATAGAGAAAATAGAACTGTTCTATTTTCTCTATGATATAATGTAGCAATGTAAACACATTAGAATTAGTAAGACCATAGAGAAAATATTTTCTCTATAGTAAGACTGTATATATTTTGGTGTAATTTGAATTAAACAACATTTAGGTGTAGCACCATTTTGTGGGGGGAAGTGGGTAGGAGGAGGGGAAGTTGTTTTCCAAAAAAGAACTAGACGGCTAAGACAATAGTAAGGGAAGGGTTTTTTGCTTTTTTGTACATAATTATGTTATAGAATTACTGCGAGACGTAGCTTGTGCATTCGGTCCAATACAAGAGCGTAAGGTGTCGGATAGATAAAAAAAAAGAGTGATATTCTAAAATGTCCAACAATATTAAGTCATGTCTTCAGTGATGTTAAATTAAACACCGTCACACATATTCCATCAGGTTTGATGATGATGATAATGATGATAATGATGATGATGATGAAAGAATGTAAGTAGTCACATAGATACGGAAATCCTGCAAAATTGGGTTCAATGGTTATATGCTTATGATAATATGAGTATGGTGACTCCGAAGAATGACAAAACTATATAAATTGGAACATGGCCCTTTTTTAAAAAGGTGTATTAATTTTTTTGGCTTTTCGTCCAAGGTATTTTCTTCTAAATTTAGTGATTAACGTTACATCAATATGCCAGGACATATTCTAATATTGCAACTACGAATACATGAATTCATAATAAAAATATACAATAATGTGTACAATATAGACACCGAAATAAAATCTGAATAATAATGTTACCAAGAAAACTAATGGGTAAACTTTAACATCGTTTTTGATAATAAAGAGGTGGTACATATTTTTGAATCCTTTACAACTGATCAACTATTAGCAGTGCGATTAAATTATGGCGCTGTAACCTAACAATAATAAGCCACAGGCTCGTCAATGATTATGATGGTAGAATAAGTCTTTTTGAATGAGGACTAAAACCTTAGGCCCAGTGTACGCAATAGCCTATTTGGAATACAAAGAAAACAGTACATCATTCTAGACGCGTGGGAAATACCCTTTTGTACTGGTAACGACAGCGATCTAAGGGACACTTAGGGGTAAAAATGTCACTAAAAAAACATTTTGTTAATTATTTTTGATAAAAGTAAAATTAGTTTAATTTCACTGTTCCCTACTATAACTATTATTATACTTTACTAATCTGTGTAACGATAGAATAAATTTTAATCAAATTTTAATTGCTTACAAGTAATTTACACATTGATACAGTTCCAGTTTTATTTAAACGTAGTTGGCTTAGACTTTGCAGGTTAATATATTCGTGGGTCACTTTATTATTTTTAGCCTCCCCTACTGATCGAAAATCCAGCGAGACTATTGTTTTACCTATTTTCTTCTTCATGTTGTCGCCGTTGTTCCTGTCGGTCTTTGTTGTTGTTGGTAATTTGTTTGTAAACAAAATAACTAAAATTTGTAAAAAATAAGTAAAATTCTGGCAGAATACAAGATGGTAGAAAGCAGACGGAGCCTATTTTTCTTGGTACGTGTGTGAATATGCTAATCCCTCATTTTATAATTAATGCATTTCACTAATCAGGTAATTTAGACTAGTTACCACAATAACTTTGTTAAGTCGGATTGGTTTCAAGTTTGGCAGAATGCAATATGTAATAAGACGATTGAGCCTATTGTTGTTGATACGTGTGTGAACATGCTAATTTAAATTGTTCAATAGCATAATTAATATTACACTAATTAGGTAATTTAGGCTAATAACAATGATAACTAAAGTTGGTAATAAGAAGACGAAGCCTATTATTTTCGGTATGCGTGTGAATATGTTAATTGCTCGTTTACATACATAATATTTCACTTATAATGAAAATTTTTCCCCTATTTACAACAAAAGCTCATTCAGGTAAATTCGACCTACATCTTATGCATGAACGCACTAACCGCAAACAACTCAAAATTCGTAGCTACTATTGGCCTCTTACGCGCGAAACGTCATTCATAGAGAGGGTAAAAACAGTTTTGAATACAATATTTTAAAGAAAAAAATGACCAATGGTTATTTAAGCAACCAACATGGGACTTACATGGCAAGAAAGCTAAATTTATGAGCTACAATTGGCCGTTCACCCCGAAGTTTAGCGACCGGTCGTTGCAGAGTTATGGTAAAAAGAAGCAGGAAGTATACCAAACACACTCTAATGTTAACCTTTTTCCTATGCAAAAGCTTAAGAGGTAGGCAACTTTGAAAGAAAAATGATCACTCAATTTTGCATTAATTGTAAGAATATATAGATGATTATAAAGCTTAAAACATCTAGTTTTATAATCCGATCGCCCCATATTGCTAAATGAAACCATTTAAATTATATAGTTGATTTTGTGAAAAGGGGGGTCCCGTTTTGACTTATTTACTGTGTTAAGGTGTGCAATGAACCGTTCAGTGAGCAGATGTCTCCAAGTTTTCATTATGATTCAAGAAATTTACTCTGATATCATAATTCCCAAAGAAAATTTCTAATTTAGGTGAAATTGTAACATTTTGTCATGTTGTTGCTGTTGTAGTAAATTGTTTGTTACCACGGTAAATAAAGATTTGTAAAATATTAGTAAATATTTGATTCTAAATTTATGGATTGCATTAACATGTGTATATCTCACCGATCAGACTAAAACGACCTCAGCCATCTGCTACATATGGTGACAAGAGGCTTTTACACCTAAAATAAGTTTAGGGCGTACATAAATCTAAGAGACTATTTTATGTGCAGATAACTCACATTTAAAATATTAATGGCTCATTATGTAATAATCTAAAAACAATTAATGAATCATTTAAATTTTTTTGTGGTACTGCTAATTACAACGGCGGCACCGATTGTTTGACGTTTTAAAGTTAACTAATTATACTTTACATCCTGATCGAATAATGCATAAAGTCTTGAAAATACCCAAGGGAAAGAAGGAGCAAAAAAAAAAATAGATTAAAACAATGAACAATGTGCATTATAATGTTTTTAGGAAATTTGTGAAAAGAGTAGTAGCTTTGCTCTTAAACAAAACAGGGACCAAATGAGTTTCGAGGAACGATTATCATTGTCTTTATGTCTTAATGTGAGAATGGATAAAATTCTTGTTATTTTTAGTTTCTGCAGCACAGTTCCTAATTGTAATAATATCAATCCTAGACATACAGATCGCCTGTACTTTTTACATCAGAAATCCAGGACTCGTGCTTTTTTCAACTCTGCCGCCATAAGGCTGTTTAGAGTTTGGGAAAAGTTTCCTAGAACTTTAGTCGATGCTGCAGTCCTAGAGAGCCCATCTTCCTTTTTACGAAATGTTCATCTTCATTTTGATAATTTGTGTGATTTTGAATTTGAATGCTGTAATTTCTTTATCCTGTATCTGTGATTGGAGATGGGCCAACCAGCATTGCTACAGTTTTAGCGATTTGAGTATTGTAGGCTTGACTGGATAGTTGCCTTACATCATGAGAGCATTTGTAAATTATGTACTGCCAACCATTGTTTGTCAAAATGGTCTTAAATTGCGGACGTTTGGTTTTTCTGCTCAGTATGTTCACTCTGCATTAATAGTTTTTTGGTTACACTAAGAGTTGGCTCTTTTAACCTTTTATCCTGTCTCTTATACACATCTAGATGTCTATAAGAGACAGTAATTGCTCGTTTACATACAGATATGTTAATGCATGTATAAATATGTTTAGAACATATTCTATAATGGAATTAGTCGCATTGAATTCTATAAATTTATTCAGATTCAGATTATTCTTTATTATCATAACGAAGTCATTAGATTTGTTTCATAAGTTACATATGAGTAAAAATTAAAAAATACATCAATAAATATAAAAAAGTTAGTAACTTATATATCAAACACATACAAAAGTTAATGCAAAAAAAAAGCAAACAAGGTGAGTTACAATGAATATATAAAAATATAGATAATGAAATAAATATTTAGTGTATACTGTACAGTTCAGCGAATGAAGCTGGAGTTTGAACGTATGGCCGATGGTATAATTGAGTTTTTAAATCTGTTTGTTTTAACTCTAAATTCGTGTTACCATGTAAAATTAAGTACGAATAAAATTAACGTGGAAACCTAATAGACCCGTATTGCAAAATAACCTAAATCTAGTTGCGTTTACCTCTATGATTTAAAAGTGGGCTTCTTCTATTTATAGATCTTGAAGCATGCACCAGTCTATGCAGCAATAATTCTAAAATATCTATTATAAAGCTTTTACATCCAGTAAGTTAGGTAAGCTAAAAAGAACTTCAAGCTTAAGAGTTTTAATAGTTCTGTGTACAGGGTTTAATTTTAAATCTTACTGTGGTAAGCCCTAAACCTCGCATCGTAACATGTTTTTTTTTTTTTTTTTTTTTTGTGGTTGCATTTTTTTGTCTTAACTTCATTGAAAATGTATTCATCCAACTTTTAATATGTTTTAAATATTGGATTTATTATTTAGTTTTTACGCAAGGGCCATATATTGCCTTCCGTGTAATATTTCACAGCAACCGTCTATTAGAAACAATGTGTAGAATGCATTGCTTCAATTAAATACATTTAGCATCATAACGCGTTTAGTGCTTTTTTGCACGCGGTGAAAAAAGGACTACGGAAGCATATCAATTTTGGCACTATTTATTCTATTAAAGGCCTGTATAATCTTGCTAATTTTCAAACCATCCCCGTGCAAATTACCTAGGGGTGGCATTTTTGTCTTCACTTCATTGAAAATGTATTCATGGAACTTTTAATATGTTTTAAACATTTGTTACATCATTTAGCTTTGCCTTACGGACCAACTTTAATTGCTTTGCAGGCAAAAAAAAAATTGCCCATAGGCCGCTTTTTAAAGATAAAGATGTAGCAAGCATTGCTTCAATTAATAGTGGGCCGTGGCAATTTTTTAAAATAGGTGGTCAGTGTTGGGCATTTCGTTCAGTGTAGAAATGTTGGCAAACATTTAACCAAATTAGCATTAATTACATCTATAATTGGGCCAGCACAGGATACCATTTTTACATCTTGCAACAACGCCTTAAAGAGGTAACAATTTTAGCCGATGATTTCGCATGCCCTAGGACAGGCTATAAAAATCGGTCTGTATAGGTATTATAGATGTAGTTTAAGGTGTGCGTTCCTTGTTCGAAGTTCGTTTTAAAAATACGAAATGACATACTGTTGAAGTTTTAGCTCTAACTACTACTAGACTAGTCAAACTACTACTAGGCACTTCATTATTATTAGCCTCCCCTAAGGATCGAAAATCCAGCGAGGCTATTGTTTTACCTTTAATTTCCATGTTATCGTCGTTGTTTCTGTCGGCCTTTGTCGTTTGTAACCAAAATAACTAAAATTTGGTACGTCTGATGATTTTAAACTTAAAAGATGATAGAAAGCAGACGGAGCCTATTGTTCTTGGTACGTGTGTGAATATGCTTATGCCTCATTTACATAATTAATATTTCACGAATCCGGTAATTTAGACTAGTTACCACAATAACTACATTTTGGTAAGTCTGATTGGTTTAAATTTTGGCAGAATGCAATATGGTAGTAAGACGACCGAGCCTATTGTTGTTGATACGTGTGGGAACATGCTAATTGCTCAATTGCATAATTAATATTTAACTAATCAGGTCATTTAGGCTAATAACCATGATAACTAAAGTTGGTAATAAGAAGACGAAGCCTATTATTTTCGGTGTGCGTGTGAATATGCTAATTGCTCGTTTGCATAGATAATATTTCACTATTCAAGAAATTTACTCTGATATCATAATTCAAAAGAACATTTCTAATTTAGGTGAAATTGTAACATGTTGTCATGATGTCGCTGTTTTAGTAAATTGTTTGTTACCACGGAAAATAAAGATTGGTAAAATATTAGTAAATATTTTATTATAAATTCATCGATTTCATTTAAACATGTGTATACCTCGCCGAACAGCCTGAAACGACCTCAGCCATCTGCTACATATTGTGACAAGAGGCTTTTACACCTAAAGCGTAAACTGTTTAAATGATTCAAAAGATCTGGGATAGCTGAGGATTGGAAAAGTATAAACAAATACGAAATAAAGTAAAATATTCAATTGAACGTTCATACAGTCATTTTGAAGAACTTTAAATGAAGAAATCGAATAATTTGAAGACGTTTTGGGCGTACATAAATAAGAGACTATTGTATGTGCAGATAACTCGCATTTAAAATAGTAATGGCTCATTATGTAAGGATTAATATCCAAAAACAATTTACGAATCATTTAACTTTTTTGCGTCGGACTACTAATTTCACCGGTGGCAACGTTTCAAAGTTAACTAATTTATACAGACATCATGATCTACAAATTCATTAAAAGTCTTGAAAATACTCAAGAGAAAGGAGGAGAAGAAACATACAAAAGAGATTGATTTAAAATATGTGTAATGTAATGTTTAAGGAAATTTGTGAAAATAGAAAATAGAAATGAAAAATATGATATTATTTTATAAATATTTATTTGTTATAAGATGTGAAATTATAAATAAAGATTTCGGTTTCAACAGAAGGGATAAAAAAAATGATGCTATATTAGGATTCGAATAACAATTATCAAGAAGAATTTAAATGAAAGAGTGTTTTAATTGTTTCTGATCATGAAGTAAGCAGGCAAGATAATGATTATCCAGTGTTAATTGGTTGCAATAATTTATGTCAATTTCCCAGTTTTGCTAATTTACAAAAGTCTTCTTGCAGGTAAATGAAGAATCTAATACACTCGTGTCAATGAAATAATAATTTAGCTCTCTATGACAAGTGGTTTTTCGAGCATTGTTTAGGAAAATCATTTTTTTAAATATATGATCCTATTTAGTAGAGGCAATTGTTAAAGTTGTTTGGACAAAAATCTGAAGTATTGTAAGTAACATTTTTGTCAATAATCAAAATAGAAATACGGAATTTTAACTAAAAATTGAAACAAAAAAATATGCAGTTTATCCTCTATATTTTGGAAAATAATTGACAGTATTTAGTGTGATCCCTCAGCTTTAAAATGAGCCTAAATCCCATAAATTTTATTTAAAATAGCGACGTGGATAAAAAAAAATGGCACCTAACTTTTTTTAATTCAGCAATTTTAATTTAGCCAATAAAATCCATTTTGGCACACAAATCTAGCTGGAGCCCAATTTACATAGCATAGCGAACCATACTAAAACATTTAATAATAATCAATATTGCCGTCAACACTGTTAAATTATAATATATAAATAATAAAAGAAAGGTATATACAGTGTTCGAATAAATAACATGATGGTACATTTATTACACAATGTATTCATTTACAGTCAAAATCCGTTAAGAGCTATGCTAATCGACCGGAAATACTTACTAGTACCTTACCTTTAGCATATATAACTGCAGGAAGGCTATGTGGCTCCGCATTATCTTCAAACTCAAGAGAAACAATGATGTTCAATTCTTCAGACCCTGTAACATAAATTTTTATGTTAACATAGTAATCATATACAAGAACTAAAATCAGCCATAAAATATGCCGTCAGAACAAAAACTAAAATCAGCCATAAAAATGACGTCATTGAGTCTCTTAAATACGATATTACGACCTACAAGGTACGTGTGGACACACATGAGCGGGAAATTCGAGAAATGCGTGATTCACAAGACGAGGCTGGAAAAAAAATTTAAAAAACAGATAATTTGGTAAGAGAATTAATTATCAATGACTTGAATGTAAAGATTAACCTCAACGACAACCCCAAATGCTGTAACTATAACAAGAGTATCGAGGTCTACAGAGCTAAGTGTAAGCTTAAGGGAAAAAATATGGTAATAACTATATATGTATATATGGAAACCTCACTGCTACTAGAAGATGCATAAAGAATAGAGTAACAAAAAACTAAGGCAATATGGATACAAGACGGAAAAAATAAATATTCATTCGAAGGACAATAGAAGATTTCTTGTTACCAAAAAATCTGATCTAAGCAAACCAAAATGTTAATTCCAATTTGATATCTATTGATTGACGTTTTTTGATATGGTGCATCGCCTGTATATTGTACAGTTATCTGAAACAAGTTGTCACTTTTCTGAAATTGACTGTTTTTATCTGTAAATCTGTAAATCTGCAAGAACCCTGCGTTCGTTGTCAATTTTTGGCCTCTTGTTTTTTGGGGTCTCTGTTTTCTTTTTTCATTTTTTTTCCCTTTTTTTTTTTCATTATTTTTGGGTCTTATGATTGTTACCAATCCTTTAGACATTGACCTGGATAACATCAACAGGGACAGCCTTCATTGTTCACATAACTTTGACAATAGCAAGTATTTCACACCTTGTGATGATAAAAACCTTAGGCATGTCTATTGCCAGGACAAAACAAAAACATTCAAAACATTGGGGACATGTTAAACTTGATACTCGAATTAGATTGTGATTTAGACATTATAGGAAGCTCCGAGACATGGCTTAATAAAAATAATTAATAATTGTAAATTTTATTGTATTACCTAAAGTATTTATTTGAATTGTATATATTGAATTGTTTTTGCCGTTTAACATAACTTTTTCTATTTTAAATTGTAATTGAATTGTGTTTCTTAACCTTTTATATGTAATTGTATATTTAATTTCTTACCTTTTATTGCAGTGTATAAATGAAGAATTTCTGATGTATTTATTTTAAATATATTAGACCAATAAAGAATGAATGAATATATAATGCCTCACTTTTGACAATGGATGGGTATACTTTATTTCGTGATAGAGCAGATAGATCTGGTGGTGGTGTGCGCATGTTCACTAAAGGCGACATCAACGTAAAATTACGTGATGACCTCTATATTAATGACAACGTTTCTCAATCTTGGTTGTCTTTTTTGAATTGATAGAAAAAAAATCAAAAAACCATTATTATTGGTGTCATCTATTAACTTCGTAATCATAATATTACACATTTCAACGGCTCCTTAAAAACTATTCTGGGGAAAATTAACAATTAAAATAAGACCTGCTACTTCATGTGCGATTTTAACATAGATTTATTAAAACAAAACATACATAATCAAACCCATGAATTTGTTAATATACTAACCTCTAATGCCTTTACACCACATATACTAAATCCCACCAGAATTGTATACACCAATAATCGCAAGACTGCATCATTGATTGATAATATAATTTCCAATGACAAATCTACGTCTATCAATAGTGGCATCATCGTATCTGATATCACTTATCACTTTCCCATATTCACTTTTAAACAATATAATATTAATAGAAACACTAAACACGATACCCAACTTGAAACTAAAGTCTTAAATAATACAACGCTCTGCAGTCAATAGAGAGAGTTGGGCAGATATCTTTGAATCAAGTGACTCTAATGATTATTACAATCTGCCCACCAACAAACTTACCACATTTATCTATGATAATATTCGCACTAAAACTGTTTCGAAAAGGCCAGTAAATCGTAAACCCTGGATGACTAGAGGTATCCTAAATTCTATCAATAAAAAGTATAGTATATTAAACATCCTAGTGAAAACAATAAACTGAAATACACAAAATACAAAAACAAGCTTACTCGTTTAATTAAACGTCTTTTTTACTCCAATGCTCTCGGCGCAGCTCGTAATAATGTTAAACAAACATTGAATATTCTTGGTGAAGTGCTCAACAGAGGCAGAAAGAAGAAAGTTGTTACCCCTGACACCAATGATGTCAAGTCTACCACTGATGGATTTACTGACTTTTGCAGCAATAATGGGTCGGCCCTGACTAAAGCTATTCCGAGTAGCAATATGAATTATAAGCAGTTTCTTAAGGGAAATTTCAGCAATTCTTTCTTTTTGAAACCACAAGCCATGAGGAAATTATACAATTTGACAATGGTTTGAAATCGTCAAACACCAAAGGATCTGACAGTATTAACCGCAAAATCATGAAACATATTATTTAACCCTACCTATTTCATTGTGCTACATTATCAATCTCTCTTTTGAAAAGGGCATAGTTCCTGATAGCCAGGGTTGTCCTTTACAAAAAAAGTCGTCAAACAAAAAAATCCGCTACTGCATATTAACATTGAGTAAATTACAAGTGTTCTATTTCTCACCAAGTGGATTTATGAATAGCACTCTCCTAGATCGTTTTGGTAAAAGAAGACTTAAAAACTGTGGGTGTCATTTTTTTCTTTGCAAAAAATGGGGGGTACGCCCCTTACGCGCCACCCCCACACACCCCCCCCCCCCTTCAAATCCGCCACTGGAAATAGGCCTAGGCCCTAAGTTTAGGTAGGCCTACTTTGTTTCATGTAATTAGAGACAACAGGATTATACAATTTCATACAGTATATCTTCTAAATTACAAAATATGATTAAACCAGGTACTGTACTTGAAAACAACAAGTAGGCAAAACTTACCCGTCGAAAGTGTCAAATGTTGTCTACACAAAAAACTGTACTTTATTAAAAGAGTAAGTCTAATGAAGGGGTGTCGTCAATGGAGATGTGCACACATATCAGTGTACTGTGGTCACTCTGCATGAAGTTTTCTGACAGCACATACCTGCTGACCTCAATAGAGAGCGATTGCTTGCACAAAGGTTTCCATGCTGGTGCATCTGCGCTTAAACTGTCTTTGTGGCTATGCATTGCGCGACATAGAATCAGCCTTTTTATGGAATTGTGTATCCATTCAATTATCTCAAAAAAAAAAAATTGGCCCCTGTATTCTGTCACTAATGTGTGTATTTGAAAATGTATCACAACTTCACAATGACAACACCAGGGGTAAATGTAAACTTACAACTAAAAAAGATAAACAAAAATGTACTAGCCTCAATGCTATTTATATTGCCCCATAAATATGGAATAACTTGAACTGTAATCTTAAAAAATGTCCTTATTTAATCCATTTTAAAATGAAACTTAAAAGAAAACTTTTGTTGAATTCATACATTATTGCTTATGCTTTTATATTATTTGTGGTCTTGAACAGTTGCTAATCTCTACGTCTATATAAATATTATTATTATCCTTATTATTATTATTAGGCCAATTATCGTTAATAGAATTTCTGGTCTCATTAACATTATTACTTTTTCAATATAATTATGCTCAAACCTTTCTGCCTCTGTTGTCAACTCGATAGAGAACTCGATTGTACTGGCAATAGAATACCTCTCTCCCGTCCTTGTTGAATGTTGACCTTTAAATTGAATTATAACTTCTATCCCTTGACTGTTATGTTAGCGTTTGTTTGTTTGTTTTTGTTTGTTTGTTTTTGTTTGTTTGTGTTTTTTTTTTTTTATTGTTACTTCTTTATTTTTATAAATTATTGCCATATAAAATGTTGTCAATAACATATTTGCCATTTGATTTGTCAGGTGCTTCACTCATCAATGTATTACATTTATCGTTATCTGTATATCATATTATCTCAGGAAGAATAAAGTCACGTAGTAATAAAATGTCATGATTATAGCCCTGAAATTCATATTGCATATTATTAACTTTTTGGAAGAGCAGGTTGACGGTAGTACACGCCAACTATTAGCTTTTTCTTTTCTTTTCACGACAGTTGTATCTTGAACCACAAAAGTTCTTGACTATCTTCAAACTTCTCCAGACGTCTTGCCTTGAGATTGATGTTGATAAGAACTAACACACTACCTCCACGCTTGTTCTCTTGTCGGTCTATCCGGTATAAACCATTTAAAGATAATTCACTGTCATCTACGGATTTGTTTAAAATGATGTCTAGGTGTTTCGTTAAAATATGACTAAACAGTTCTGTCTTGTAAGTTTCTTCCATTATATGTCGCTGAAGTAAAAGGAAAATGAAACCCCGAAATAGGTAAGTTAAAAGTAAGTGCAGCATTCAGCTGGATACATGAATAGCTAACTATATTGAAACCCTCGAACACGTAGGTGAGACCCTGTGTTGAAGGTGTAGGCCTATTGCACAATCCAGATAAAATAAGGAATCAGATAAAAACGTCGTCAGCATTATGACTAAATCCAAGGATTGCGTAAAAGAAATTGTTGAAATAATATTGCACACGGATGAAAGAACAGCTGGAGTGACTTGGATATGTTAATTGAAGATCGAAGTTCTCTAGGCTCAAAAATAAAGTGTCATTACCATACTGTTTACATTGGTGTCTGGCAGTTAGGTACCTTTTAGACAATGACTTGATCTTGCTTGGCTTCTCAGACACAGGGCCTCCATATATTTTACTACTTTCAGGATAATATGTAGGATTCAGGGAGTAATAATTCGTAAATGTTGCTGCTGTATCCATTATAGATTATATTAGTATGACTGGTAAAGTGAAATTGTAAGACGGTAAAAGAACAAATGGATGTAAATGATAAGAAACAACAGAGCAATACAACAGGTAACACAACCATGATAGTATTCGATCCTCTCTTTTTTGTTTTTTGTGTTTATGTTTG